ATTTTGCCGCATAAAGCATACTATAGTTTGTATGCTGGTGTTAATGTGATTTCTAAAGCATGGATTCTGATTTTCCTACAACACTTTGGATTTTAAATCATAATATAAGATGCTATTAACACCGTTTTCCTCGGCATGCAATGCAGTTGATCTATCCTCAGAGTTCTTCCAAGTCCCGTTGAGTCAAAGCCTCTCTCTTCCTCATTCATTGCTGTGAGTGACGCTCGATCACTAATCACCTCATGAAGAACAGCTCCGTTTCAGATGATCTCGAAGTGCGAGTTTATGCCATTAGTCTAAACAAACTGCGCCGGATAACAACCGCACTCAGAGCAGATAAAGTTTTTCCTTTGATTATCAATTTCCGTTCCTCACAGTCATCGGAATTTGATTTTCCGTTTCTTTTAACACTTCTTGTTGAACCGCACCGATCCTTCGATTAAATTCCCTCTCTCACAGAATGACATACATGCCAAGCTACGCACATTTGATCCTGGATTGAAAGTTAAAATATGCATGTGCCAATACGGGAGAGACAGCGAATTACTTCTCTTAGATAGCAGATGAAACCCAAAGACATTTTGATAGTACTTTTATCCGGAAGTTTACACTGTAAAGCAAATGCTGTAATCGATTGAATATGCTTTTCATGCTGTTTCATGTTCCAATGGGAATTGCATCACTAAGAGTTTTGTTTAACGTGAGCAGAAATTCCTAGTTTTTTTTCTTTTTTTTTCTTTCTCTTTTTTTATAGAACTCCGTTTCTTGGATAAAAAAGCATATTAACAGATATAATATGTTTGCGTATTTTGCCAAGCTTTTGTATATTTTGTATAACTGTGCATTTACCCGAAAAGCTTTTAGGTAGCGCCAGTTCAACTCTATCTATCTATCAGTCTATCTGTCTGTCTGTCTGTCTATCTATCTGTCTATATGTCTATCTATCTGTCTATCTATCTGTCTATCTATCTGTCTATCTATCTGTCTATCTATCTGTCTATCTATCTGTCTATCTATCTGTCTATCTATCTGTCTATCTATCTGTCTATCTATCTGTCTATCTATCTGTCTATCTATCTGTCTATCTATCTGTCTATCTATCTGTCTATCTATCTGTCTGTCTATCTATCTGTCTATCTATCTGTCTATCTATCTGTCTATCTATCTGTCTATCTATCTGTCTATCTATCTGTCTATCTATCTGTCTATCTATCTGTCTGTCTATCTATCTGTCTATCTATCTGTCTATCTATCTGTCTATCTATCTGTCTATCTATCTGTCTATCTATCTGTCTATCTATCTGTCTATCTATCTGTCTATCTATCTGTCTATCTATCTGTCTATCTATCTGTCTATCTATCTGTCTATCTATCTGTCTATCTATCTGTCTATCTATCTGTCTATCTATCTGTCTATCTATCTGTCTATCTATCTGTTATCTATCTGTCTATCTATCTGTCTATCTATCTGTCTATCTATCTGTCTATCTATCTGTCTATCTATCTGTCTATCTATCTGTCTATTCTATCTTGTCTATCTATCTGTCTATCTATCTGTCTATCTATCTGTTCTATCTATCTGTCTATCTATCTGTCTATCTATCTGTCTATCTATCTGTCTATCTATCTGTCTATGTATCTGTCTATGTATCTGTCTATTATCTGTCTATCTATCTGTCTATCTATCTGTCTATCTATCTGTCTATCTATCTGTCTATCTATCTGTCTATCTATCTGTCTATCTATCTGTCTATCTATCTGTCTATCTATCTGTCTATCTATCTGTCTATCTATCTGTCTATCTATCTGTCTATCTATCTGTCTATCTATCTATCTGTCTATCTGTCTGTCTATCTATCTGTCTATCTATCTGTCTATCTATCTGTCTATCTATCTGTCTATCTATCTGTCTATCTATCTGTCTATGTATCTGTCTATCTATCTGTCTATCTATCTGTTTATCTATCTGTCTATCTATCTGTCTATCTATCTGTCTATCTATCTGTTTATCTATCTGTCTATCTATCTGTCTATCTATCTGTCTATCTATCTGTCTATCTATCTGTCTATCTATCTGTCTATCTATCTGTCTATCTATCTGTCTATCTATCTGTCTATCTTATCTGTCTATCTATCTGTCTATCTATCTGTCTATCTATCTGTCTATCTATCTGTCTATCTATCTGTCTATCTATCTGTCTATCTATCTATCTCTCTATCTGTTAATCTATCTGTCTATCTATCTGTCTATACTATCTGTCTATCTATCTGTCTATCTATCTGTCTATCTATTCTGTCTATCTATCTGTCTATCTATCTATCTGTCTATCTATCTGTCTATCTATCTGTCTATCTATCTGTCTATCTATCTGTCTATCTATCTGTCTATCTATCTCTCTATCTAATCTCTCTATCTATCCCTCTATTCTATCTGTCTATCTATCTCTCTATGTATCTCTCTATCTATCTTCTCTCTATCTCTCTCTCTATCTGTCTATATCGCTATCTATCTGTCTATCTATCTGTCTATCTATCTGTCTATCTATCTCTCTATCTATCTCTCTATCTATCTCTCTATCTATCTCTCTATCTATCTCTCTATCTATCTCTCTACCTATCTCTCTATCTATCTGTCATCTATCTGTCCATCTATCTGTCTATCTTATCTGTCTATCTCTATGTCCATCTATGTGTTATATCTATCTGTCTGTGTATCTGTCTGTCTAATCTGTCTATCTATCTATCTCTATTTATCTATCTACCTCTATTTATCTATCTATCTCTATTTATCTATCTTTCTCTATTTATCTATCATCTCTCTATTTATCTATCTATCTTTACTTATCTCTATTTATCTATCTATCTTTACTTTATCTCTATTTATCTATCTGTCTATTTTATCTTATGTATCTCTATTTATCTATCTTTCTTATTTATCTATATATCTTTAACTTATCTCTATTTTTCTATCTATCTTACTTATCTCTATTTCTATCTATCTTTATTTATCTTTATTTATCTATCTATCTTTACTATCTCTATTTATCTATCTATCTATCCCTATTTATCTATCTATCTCTATTTATCTATCTATCTCTGTTTATCTATCTATTCTGTTTATCTATCTATCTCTATTTATCTATCTATCTCTATTCATCTATCATTATTTATCTGTCTTTCTCTATTTATCTATCCTTCTCTATTTCTCTATCCTTCTCTATTTCTCTATCCTCCTCTATTTATCTATCCTTCTCTATCTATTTATCTATCTCTATTTATCTATCTCTTTTTATATATTTGTCTCTATTTATCTACCAATCTCCTGTTTATCTATCTATATCTGTTTATATATCCTTCTCTATTTATCTATCTATCTCTATCTATCTATCTATCTCTATTCATCTATCACTATTTATCTGTCTTTTCTATTTATCTATTCTTCTCTATTTATTTATCCTTCTCTATTTATCTATCCTTCTCTATCTATATATCCTTCTCTATTTATCTTTCCTTCTCTATTTATCTTTCCTTCTCTATTTATCTATCTCTATTTATCTATCTCTTTTTATCTGTTAGTCTCTATTTATCTATCTCTTTTTATCTATTTGTCTCTATTTATCTATCTCTTTTTATCTGTTAGTCTCTATTTATCTATCTTTTTTTATCTTTATCTTATTTACCTATCTATCTCTATTTATCTATCTATCTATCTATTTATATCATTCTTTCTCTCATTCTGTGTGTCGTATATATGTATGTGTCATCCAAATCTATGAGTGCAAATCTAAATAAAACATTTGCTAGGAGTATATAGTAGGCTAGTTCATCTACACTAAACGATGTTAGAACAGATAATCAATATTGATTCCTGTAGCCTCAAACTCTTTGTCAAATATTCCTTCTGAAGCAGAAAGATAATTTCAGAGTAAATTAATCTTACTTTTTGCATTTCCACACAATGTCTTTCCGATGACGTTGCCTCGTGAATATTACTTGGCTGAAGATGAAGGTTCGGAACACCAGTCGTCGGTTTATAAAAAAAAATGAAAATGGAGGATAAAAACTTAAATGCGTGTTATAGAATTTCTGCACGCGTTAGTCGCACAAAGTCGTGGATAAAAAATTGGAGTGTTGGTAGATGAAACCGTACTCTGAGGAAATCTCATTTACATTTACTTTTTTCGCTTTCTTGAACGGATATATTTGACCTTATCTAGTCCTAACAGCTTCCCTCCCCATAGCTGTGTGTTGCAGATAAGGACAAGAAGGCCCTATGTGTGTCAGTGGCGAGGACTAATTTTGATGGTGTTGGCTGTAGGATACAAAATCCGACTGATTTCATTAAAACTAATGACTGTAATTGAGATAAGTATGTCGCTTGAATTCAATAAAAGCTTCTTAGTGTGACTTTATTAATGTTTTGCAAGATGATGAAATATCGTGCTTACATTAACAAGTGTATGTACAATGAGACGTATATCAGTGCAAGTATATAAGCAATTAGTATGTATGGAGAGATATCATATCATACGATAATATCGTAAACAACACCAATTATATCTTCATATCTTTATTTCCACTGGCCTCATACATTTGTCGTTAATACCACTTTCTCCTTTTCAGCTAAATATCCTTATCGCCATTATCACCTAAAAGACGTGAGAATCCTAACATGATTAGAGGATTAAAAAATATTACACGGGGCGCATAATATACCCCGTTCTCCCTTCCCTCGTAGTGGAGGGCGCTTTTAACACTTTCTACACACACAAATGGCATCCGAAAGAGGAAATAGGAAGAAAACGAGCGCCAGAGGCTTTCAAGAATTATCATAAAAGTATGACATTTAGTAAGGCAGACTAATCAGCCTAATGGAATGCCAGACTATGGATAAGAAACCCGGAGTGTAATCAAACTGGTTTATTGGAAATGTGGAAGGACAAGGACAGGTGCTTCGTTGCCGACGCACGTTAGCCTAATCTCTACAGTCGGGCCTGTCGCTCCAGGTTTCTCAAATGAACCTCATCTAGTTTCGCCTTTCTCTCGTGAACCTTCAGTTTGGCTTCATTCGACCTGGCTTGCCTCTCCAGACACCTTAACTGGACCTCTTCTATGTTGGCTTGTCTTTCTAAGCTCTTCAGCTGGGCTTCCTCTATCTTGGCCTGTGTCTCCAATATCTTGGCCTTCCACATCCCTTCTTCCACTGCATAAACAGGAATAATATTCTCCTTCGTATCGTGATCCAAATCAGTACTAGCAGCTAATACTTCATCAGTAGCACTCTCTTGAACAGGGATTTCAACCTTCACAGTACCAGCATAAATCTGTTGCCCACCTGCAGGGGCTACAGATCTACCCGCATCGCTTCCTATAATATGACAAGAGATGACTATGAGTGTATGTATGCGTGTCATTACGGTATTTCATTCCTATATCTAAAATAGAAGTACTGAACCACATTTTTCAGTCTGTCTCACCTTCACTATGAGGAGGGTTACGGGATGCATCTGCTGTGCCCTGGCTTAATGTTCATTATGCCCGGTCGCCAGTGTGTCCTGGGAGGCGCCGCTTTGCTGTACGTCGACTCTGGAAGGGAAAAACGACACGGTGATACATCAAGCAACCATGCACAAGAGTGATTTTTATCACATCTAGAAGTATCAAACCCTGAACAAATGAAAGTGGAAGTATATGCTTTGTCACATTAATATAAAGCCTGCTAATGGATATATCATACGGTCATCAAGGGCAGAACCAGTAGCTCAACTGATCGATATTCACCATGCGTCCAGTATCTTTAAAAGGAGTATGATTAAGACTTACTCTTTGTTTCGGTTACCCCACAGACTTTTCAGTTCACTTGCAGTCCGAGTTTTTCCAATTCCTTCTGCGTTAAAGGCCTTTGTAATTTCATTCCACGCTTCCTTCTTCTTCCGAAACACGAATCGATTCATTTTCTTGGACCTAATAATGGTTCTTTTCACGGTCAGGCTGCCCAGGAGCTGCTTTTCCCTTCCGGAGAATTTCGAATTTTGACGAGACGGCATGGCTGGCACTCTGCGCGCTGAAGCCTCAACCAAGTCTCTCGTGGAAACCTGAATCTCGCCTTAAGAGCGCTCGCGAGGCTCGCCAACCCCCGCTGCGCCTCCCTGTGATTGGCCGAGACTCAGTCGCCGGAGGGATGCCTGGAGGAGAGGACTGGGATGTGCCGTTGCTCCCAAGGCCTCGCTCTCCGATCCTTGTTAGTTCAGTATTAGTGGTATTGTTGTCATTATCAACTACTTTCATAGTCATTGCTTTCATATAGTTAATTTACATAATTATCGCTTTCATTATTGTTATTTGCATCATTATTATTTTCATTATCGCTACATTCATTATTATCATTTTCCTTGTTATCATTAATTTTCATGGTTTTCATCATTATTATTTTCATTACAATTATTTTCAATATTGTTATTTTCATTCTATCTTAGTTTTCATTATTAATGTTTTCATTCTTATTATTATCATTATTGTCATCATCATTATTACTATTATTGTATTTAGTATTATCAATATTATTATTGTTATCATTGTAATCATTATTATCATTATCATCATCATTACTTATATATATAAATACAAATATATTTATAAATGGATAGATATATAGATATATATGCATACACATTGTGTTTGTGTGTGTCTATATATATATGTATATATATATATATATATATATATATATATATATATATATATATATATATATCTATATATATATACTCACACTCACACACACACACACACACACACACACACACACACACACACACACACACACACACACACACACACACACACACACATACACCACACACAAACACACATTCACACATGTGTAATATATAATATATAATTGATTAATATATATATATATATATATATTATATATATATATATAATATATATATAATATATATTTGTATGTGTGTGTATACACACAAATACGCACACACTATAACACACGCATACACATATCATTTCAGGAACTTCCTACAGCTTTTAGGAAGATGAAAGTCTATCTTCACAAATGGAAATTGATGTTACCCATTTCTAGAGGAAGGTCAAGGAAGGTCAACTGTATCCTGGGGCGACAGGAAGTATGGGCATCTTATGTCTTCCAGGTTTTTAATTTTATCACTGTCATGATCATGTTTTTTTTGGCTAATGGTAATACTACTATCACGATGGATATTTATCATATATTGATAATCATCATTATCATTATTATTATCATTATTATTATCATTACGATTATTACCATCATTATTATTACTATTGCCATTATCATTATCATTAATGTTATAGTTATCCTTCACATTAATTTCATGATTATCATTATCATTAACATTTGCAATATCATTGTCATTGTCTCTTTCACTATCTTTATCATTATGATTATGGTTAATACTGCCATTATTCTCATGATAAATTATCTTTTTTTTTTGTTATCATTGTTATTATCGTGTTTTCTTATTGTTATTATCGTCTTTTTTCTTATTGTTATTTATCGTGTTTTTCTTATTGTTATTATCGTGTTTTTCTTATTGTTATTATCGTGTTTTTCTTATTGTTATTAATATTTCTCATCATTGTTATCATTATATTTATCTCTATCATTAGCATTATCATAATCTTTATTATTAACAATACCTTTATTATTAACAATATCTTCATCATTATTATTAATCATTATCATTATCTTATCATTATCATTTCATTATCATTATCATTATCATTATCATTATCATTATCATTATCATTATCATTATCATTATCATTATCATTATCATTATCATTATCATTATCATTATCATTATCATTATCATTATCATTTCATTATCATTATCATTATCATTATCATTTCATTATCATATCATCATCACTATTCATTATCATCATCATCATTCATTAAAATTATCATTATTATTATTATTATTATTATCATTATCATTATCATTATCATTATCATCATCATCATCATCATTAACATTATCATTATCATTATTATTATCATTATCATTAACATTCTCATTTCTATCAAAATTACTATCATTATTTTCATCACTATTGTTATTCCTATTACTCTCCTTATCCTTATCCTTGACAGAAAAGCCCACAATGCACAAACGAGACTTGCTGAAAGGGAGGCAACAGTTCAGAAATCCTTTGTCATTCTACACGTAGGATGGGCGGCATTAAGGAGCAGTCTGAGGATGTGGGAAGCAAGAAGAAGGAAGGAGAAGAAAACGCATCCTTCTGATGACCACTCTTCGCATTGACCTTTGACCTAACCTGACCTCCTTTCGCCTCCGGTCACCTGTACTCAACTGACCTGTGCTTGCTGTGTTGTGTCTATTTTCTCTCGCTTATACTCCTCCTGAAAATAATTGTGATTATTGCTATTATCATCATTATCTTGTCATCATTGTTGTTAGCATGGTTATAATAATTGTTATCGTTATTATCAACATCAATATCATTATCATCTTTCTTATTAGTATTATGATTATTATCATCATTACTATTATCATTACTATTATCATTACTATTATCATTACTATTATCATTACTATTATCATTACTATTATCATTACTATTTCATTACTATTATCATTACTATTATCATTACTATTATCATTACTATTATTCATACTATTATCATTACTATCATCATTACTATCATCATTACTATTATCATTACTATTATCATTACTATCATCATTACTATCATCATTACTATCATCATTACTATTATCATTCACTATTATCATTACTATTTCATTACTATATCATTACTATTATCATTACTATTATCATTACTATCATCATTACTATTATCATTACTATTATCATTACTATTATCATTACTATTATCATTACTATTATCATTACTATTATCATTACTATTATCATTTATTTATTCATTATCCATTATTATCATTACTATTATCATTACTATTATCATTACTATTATCATTACTATTATCATTACTATT